TCTTATTTGATGTCTATATTTTTAGACAATTTAACTCTTATAACTACTTTTTTATAAATTACACTTTTTTTCTTTACCTTTTTCCTTAAAATCAATTGTATTTTTAACAATCACTTATTATTATGTAACTTTTTTATTTTTATTTTTTAAAATAATTCATAGAAATATAAAGTATCATTTGTACACTAATATCAATAAATATATATATATATTTTATTAAAATAATAATAATAAAATGATTTATAAAATAAAGCACTCACAATATAAAATAATTTCATATTATATTCCAATCATGATCAACCATAATTGACAATAAATTTTTTTAATTCATTAAAAAGTTGAATTTTTGAGATCTAACTTCTTAATATTTTTTTTATATTTTTTATTTTCACTGTAGAAATTAAGAATAACTGATTATTAATTACTAAAAATAAAATATGTTATAATTTAATGCAATTAATTTATCATTGTTGTGCATTATTTAGTGATAAATTGCTGTTTTAAATAAAAACTTGTAACTAATAAATATATAATGTACAAATAAATTAACTTACTTGTATGTAGCAATTATTTTTGTTAGAAATATTTTTATTTATTTTTATAATATTTATAATTAATTTAAAACTTAGATAGAGATAAATAATTTGAATTCCAAATATTAAAAAAGAAAAAAAAAATAAATTAGTGAAGCAAACAAACTTAAATTAATATAATATAATTTAAAAATATCCAAAAAAAAAAATTATTATTTATGTTGTCTTGAATTTTAAATATGTTGGAGACAAATTCTATTTACGAGTTTGTACCACTTACAATACCTACATTTCTATAAAAGACCCTTTTCATGGAGGTCCATTTATGTTAGGATGTACATGAATAGTGGAAAATCCGAGTTTTTATATTTGTCGTGAATGATCAAACCTCTTTTTTTCATGCAAACGAGTTTTGTATTTGCATATATTTGTCATAGATGACCAAACCTGTTTATTCATTTGCATACATTTCAACATAAGAAGCACCTCAATAAAATTTGGACAACAACCAAGGTTCATTTATGCTATCATGAGAAAAGCTTAATTTATGTCATATTCTTATTTTCTTCTCTTTAAAAATATTTATTGAGAATATTATTTAAATAAGGCCTGAATTTCTAACAATAAAATTAATATTCTTAAATTTTTTATTTGTTTCATCTTATCAACTTTTATAATTATCTATGAGTCGAATTTCAATATTTTAAGAGAATTTTCAATAGTTAAACATAAAATATGAAATTCAATTAAGTTAAATATAATTATCTATAAATTAAATCAAAATTTGATCTAAAAGATTTATTTTATGTAATGTGTGTGGATAAAATAGTAATTATAATTTATTGAGAAACATAAGAGTAATTTTGAGAAATAAAAAATATCACCCGAAAGACAAATCTAACCTATATATTTAACTGTTTTTCTTTAATAGAATTATAGAAGTATTTTTCGAGATTCTTTTTTCTTTCTAACCACTCATCTTCAAGAATATATTATTTTCTTATAAATTTAATAATAATATTTTTTTATTTTGCTTTTAACTGTACTCTTAATGATTTGAGAGCTGATTCAGATTCAGCTCATGTTTTGTTTTTTCTCGAGTCTTTTAGTCCTCCTTTTTATATCATTCACAAAAAATAATTAAGAAGGAATAATTTTCTTAAATAAACATTAAGGTTTATGTTCATTTTGATCAATTTCTGAAATTTAACTCATCTGAACTTTTGTGTAAAAAAAAAACAAAGAGAAAGCAAGTATCTCTAGGTGTCTTCTCCCATGAAAACCTTTTTTAAATTTTTTTTTAAAATAGAAACATTTTTCAAGATTTTTTTATAACCTCTTGCCTTTATCATATATCATTTTTCATCTTATTAGCTTATAGAAACTTTCGTGTGGTAAGCAACTTTTTCAAGGAATGATTTGCCATAAAAATGTTTACTTTGAGAGATGTAACTAACTATTTTCAGGTAATAAATGTGTTTCAGGTTTGGGAAACAAAAGATAAACCACATGTTCACATGCTGCCACCGGTATCCAAGATAAAAAAAGAAAAAATTGTCTATGCATTACTTGAATAGGATATATGAACATACACAGTAACATCACTGTGACAGTTTGACACGTGGTAAAGGGCTTTATTCTTTTTTCATCTTTGTATTCCTTCTCCAATGCTCATATGTCTTGTGCACGTTTTCTCTCGAAAATAAAAATGAACCGTGTGTGTGGAATGTTATAGTTATCACATTTAACTTATGGTTTTCAATAGTTACAGAACATGATTCTTTAGACTCGAGAAAACACAAAGCAAATATGCTCAAAGATAAAATCATAATCTATAAGATAGAAAGAAAATATGATTCCCATAGTTTGGCTCCTTTTGTTAGAGAAGGGGTTAATCTGTTACTCAAAAGACTTGCTGAAAATTTGAAGTCAACACAAGGTAAATGATGAGAAAGCTTAAAATTCAAAAGATAGAATGCGAATTGCTACTCAAACATTACAAATTCTACACTGAAGATACAATATTGCACAAGGGCGCAATGGGCAAAGAGTTTGTATCCGGATTTGCAAATATTATTTCATATATGAAATAGAAGTGCATGTTATTGAGGAGTTAATTAAGAGTAAGAGCATAACACAAAAATTAAGAGGAAGAGCACCTCAATTTGAATCCGAAAGAAGAGCACAAGTAAATCCGTCTTGCAGAAGCTGATTAATGGCATCCCTAAACTTGTAATAGTCGTGAACCTTGTTGTAAACCTGACGAGAAATTCTGGCATATGCAGTGACAGACCCATCATCCCCTCCACGAAAATAAATGGGAACTTCAACCCCAAAGTCATCCCTCAAACGCGTCCTAAGTTTGTTAGCATCAGAGTCAGACCTAATCCCCAAAGGAGGAGGCAAACCCACCATGACCATGCTAGCACTCATGTGAGAAGGACACCCAAGATGGGTCCCCCAAGCTTCCACAAGCATGTTCCCCATCTCAACAACCGCATCATGGTTCCTCTTCCTTATCCCCTCAATCCCACCCTCAAACCTATTCACGAAATCCACAACCGAAGGAACCACCAACTGCGCGCTGTAGTCTCTATTCCCAGTCCAAGAACTCTCCACCGCCAACCCATTCCCGTACTCATGAGACACCACGGGATGGTGCAGGTCACGTGACTTGGGGGATTTGCGCGCGTAGAGGAACGCAACGGAAGGAGGAGAGAAGAACCACTTATGCAAATTGCTGGTGTAGAAATCGGCCCCAATCTCCTGCATATCGACGCGCGTGCAGCCAATCGCGTGCGCCGCGTCGACGAAAACCTGGTCGACCCCCTCCTCTCGGCAAATAGTAACCAACTCCTTAACGGGAATGACGACGCTGGGCATGCTGGTCACGTGATCTATAACCGCCAGGCGGATTCTGTTACCTCGGGATTTTCCAATCTCAACGGCTTTCCGGAATTCGCGGACGACGTCGTTCTCGGAGGTGACCGGGAAGGGGAGGGGGACCTCGATTACGGAGCCTCCCGCGCGCGCCACGTAGGCCTCGATGGCTTTCTTGACGGCGCCGTAGGCGTAGTGGAGCATGAGGACCACGTCGCCTTTCTGGAAGGTTCCGTCGTGGAAGGCCCAGGCGGCCTGCTGGAGGACGATGGCCGTGGCCGTGGAGGCGTTGTCCACCAGGGAGATCTCCTCCACGTGTTCCGCGTTCACCAGCTCCTTGATGATGCTGCGCGACCGGTGGAGGTTCTTCTTCAGGTCGTTGAAGTAGAACTGGTCCGGCTGCCGGAGGTTCTTCAGCTGCCACTCCCGCTGCGCCCCGAGCACCGAGGCCGGGCAGCACCCGAAGGCCCCGTTGTTGAGGCGCGCCACGGCGGGGTCGTGGTGGGAGAATTCGGACTGGATCTCGGCGTCCGTGATGAAGGAGAGTTTTGGCTTCTTGGAGAGGTGGGTGTCTCCGTTTTGGTGTTCTTTGTTGGAGGCCATTGGAGAGTGAGGCGAAAGGGTGAGTTGAGTGGTGATATATTATGTTTCATTCCCACTTGGACCCCCCAGTGACATGGGATGGGAAATTAGGAATATAAAATTGGGGAAGAACCAACCACCATAAAGTCACTCTTTTATGGATGCTACTACTGTTTTGTGTTTATAATATCATATAATATAATATAGTGCAGTTGTTGAGTACAGTGCAGGTATCATTGCAATCCAATTTGCTATCCTATCACACACCCCACTACCAAACTACTATAGCGTAACAAACTTTGCCAAATGCTGTAACTTTTCTCGTTTTTGCTTTTCATCTGCCCAGGATGAATTCGAATCTGTATAATCGTCCATTTCCTGCCAATAAACCTTTTCTTGATTCTGTTTTCTGTCTAATTATTTCATTACTACTTGGCTTAACTAAATTATTATGTTTCGTGTAAATACATTGCTCAAATCAACCAAACCGTTGTTTACGATGACCAAGCCTATTCCCTTTTATTCACCTCATTAATCAGACCACTTCAAAACTGGTTAGATTATAACCATTTGCTAATATATAATTAACCAAAACTCCCCACTTGTTATTGAAAACTATGGTCAATGCCTTTGTAAATGACAAAAGACAATGGGAATCGTCGGTTTGTTTTTGATGCATTTTGTGTTATGTTATGCATTTTAATGAACCACTTCAATCATTTATTCGTCATATTTGGAAACAAAGTTACCCATCTTGGATTATTAGATATACTTATGAACAAGAACATTTAGATATTTTTGGAAAATATACACTTAAACTTATCAAAAACAAAAACAACAGAAAAAATAAAGTCTTTGTTGTTGGATAATACACTTAGTAGATCAGGTGGCAAACACAGTGCCGTCGATTGAATCAAGTGTGTGCCAAAGGCAGCAACCAATTATTTTGTTATCTATGTTTTTCTGGTAATGAAAATATAAGCATTTGAGACTTTTTATCTTAAAAACTCTAAAATGTTAAATTAAAGAAATTAATAAAGTAATTTTTTAATAAAAAAATCATGAAGAATTAAAATAAGTAACATAAGAGAGAAAACATGTAATAATGTACAAAATACATATATAAATAATCTTAGTTACGAATGAAGACTCAGTTTTATATATAAGAATAAATTTAATATATGCTTTAATGAAGTTGAAGTTGAACTATTATTACTTTTATCCAGATATATGGAAACCAACGACACCATGTTAATTTCTATGTTTGTCAGCTTCTTTTTGCACTTACTGTCATATTCATTAACTTTATATTATATAAGATACAAATTCCTCTTCGACATTGGTAGAATTAAAAAAAAAACCATTTATTGTTATAATACGTATTGCTATTTCCCTTCAAGGTTGCATACAAATCTACGTGCGCTGATGGAATACGAGTCCATTGATTTCATGTGAACGCAAGTTTTGTTAATTTTGTCATCTACCTAACTATTTGGCACATAACGAGGAGTTTGTCTTCTTTTCTGATATTTTTCATGATCAGTTTTCGTTAGTCGATATGGAATGATTAACATTTAGCGTGAAGTATTCGAACCAATTGCCTGCTTCTGTCTTTCGGTGGACCTTTGTCCTCTCCTCTTGGTATGCTAATGTATAATACACAACTCATCGCAAACCTGAATCCACCACTAGCCTTAAACCCATTTCACAAACTCACCCCAAACAAAACCTTTATCCAATGGAACAAAACCATGTTTAAGGATAATTACCATTTAAGATGTAGTTATCATCATTATTGCCACACAAGAACCGGTTGAAATTATTCAGTGATGTTCTGGACGCGAGTAACCATAGGTGAATTAAGTAAGTTTAACGACTAATTTGGAATAAAAATTGTTGGAGGAAATTTTTCAGGGAGAAAACAGAAAATTGAAATACAATTTTTACCCTTTCTAATAGCTAAGAATAGTGGGAGTAAACAGCCTATTTTCCCCTTTGTGATGCCACTAAATGATATCCATACCATAAAACTTACATATGCAGAATATCTGAAACCAAGCTCAGTGTGATGAGATCATTATAACATCCCACTA